TTTTATTTGTAACGGCAACTGAGTAAATGATGTACACAAACAGCTTGGCCCAACAACGGGTCAATCTGTCACTATCTCACAACAGGGTCTCCAAAAGAGAGTTGCCCAGTACTATACAAAAGGAAAGGAAATACCTCACTTCTAAAGTGGAAACAAAATAACAAAACGGGACTGTGGGAAAACACAGCTGGTGCGGGTCTACAGGTGCTAATCACCTGGATCTACGCAATATACCCACAGGAATGCTGGTCTACAGGTGCTAATCAACCTGGATCTAAGCAATATACCCACAGGAATGCTGGTCTACAGGTGCTAATCAACCTGGATCTAAGCAGTATACACACACAGGAATGCTGGTCTACAGGTGCTAATCAACCTGGATCTAAGCAGTATACACACACAAACCCTATACTAACACAGAACCCGACGACACGCTGCTAATCAGTGTGCTCGCCCAGAAACCCTACTGAATACACTGCTAATCAGTGTAGCTAACACAAAATGCACACGGCTAAACAGTCTCAGAAGTCACAGAACGAAGGCAATGTCACAATGCGAGGGTTGAGGCGTCTGTCACACAATACAGAGCCTCCCGAATGGTATCCGTGCCCAGCCTTTATACTCTTCCCCCGGATGACGTAGCAGAAGCGGGCAGGGCTTGGGTGACGTCTGTCCAATCCCCGCGGATGTTGCGAGGTCGAGACGGCCACTGACAGCATAGGAACTGCCCAGCTCATTTGCATACACACACAAACAGAGTTAAGGGCACAAGGTAGCAGCAGCTGTAACACCCCCCCCCTTAAAACACAAACCCCACAGGGTTTTTGTGAACCTTAACACATCACAACACCATGACCACAGCACACATCATTCCAGTCTGGACAGGGCATCTGCGAACACATTCTCTGAACCTTTCTTGTGGCAGATTTGCAGGTTGTAGTCCTGGACGATCAGAGCCCACCGCATGAGACGCTGATTGTGGTTGTACATGCGGGACAAAAAGACAATGGGGTTATGATCGGTAAACACTGCAACCGGCAAAGAACTGGACCCGACATAAACCTCAAAGTGCTGGAGAGCTAACAACAAAGCAATGGTCTCCTTTTCAATGGTGGAGTAGCGGACCTGGTGTTTGTTGAACTTACGGGAGAAATAGCAGACAGGATGATCAACTCCATCCGCATCCTCCTGCAGTAAAACAGCACCAGCCCCCACTGCACTAGCATCCACCTCGAGTTTGAAGGGCTTAGCAAGATCGGGAGCAGCAAGCACAGGAGCGTGACTTAGAAGTGTCTTTACACACTCAAATGCATGTTGGCAGTGCACTCAGGGGTCCGAACATAGTCCACCTTGGGACTTATCAACTTAGTTAGGGGTTGGGCCACAGTGGAAAAATTACGGCAGAAACTGCGGTAGTAACCGGCCATACCTAGGAAACGGCGGAGATCACTCCTGGTGCCGGGCACCGCACATTCAGCCACCGCAGTAACCTTAGCTTCCACTGGTCGGACTTGGCCTTGCCCAACCTGCTTCCCTAAATAGGTGACAGTAGCTTTACCAAACTCACATTTGGCCAGGTTCAAAGTAAGCGACGCCTGTGCAAGCCGGGTGAATACCTGCCCCAGGATCTTCATGTGCATCTCCCAGGTGGGCGTGTACACAATGAGATCATCTAAATAAGCGTTACAGTTACTTATTCCGGAGAGGACAGTATTCACCAATCTTTGAAACGTAGCAGGTGCATTACACATACCAAACGCCATGACTGTGTACTGCAGGAAACAGTCAGGTGTAGCGAAAGCGGAGATCTGTGAGGCACGGTCCGTTAAAGGTACCTGCCAGTAACCTTTAAGTAGGTCCAATTTACTGACATACTTCACAGAACCTAAATTGTCGATGCAATCCTCCATTCTCGGCAATGGGTAGCAATCTGTCACCGTAACAGCGTTCACCTTACGGTAGTCTGTGATAAAGCGTGGAGAACCATCAGATTTCGCTTCTACAAGACACGGCGAACACCATGGGCTAGAGCTCTGTGTCGCCAGGCCATTTGATACAAGATATTCAGCCTCCTGTTTCATAAGCTCGCGCTTGGTCGGATTGGCACGGTACGGATGCTGTTTAATCGGCCTTGCGCCTTTTACATTGATGTCATGCGTTATCACATTAGTTTGTGTCGGGACATCATGGAAAAGGCACGGGAAACGATCCACCAACTGGGTTATGTCATTCTGCTGTCCCTTATTGAAAGCGCAGCAACCGCCTCCTGGGCTCTCCCGTGGAGTTTACACTGGATTAACAGAGCCCAGGCATCCTCCGGCCACTGTAACGCTGCTGCAATGCGCTCAAACGCACCGAAATACGCATCCACTTCATTCTCCCGGAAAATCGGCACTAGCGAAATGTTTTCCCTACATTGAAGGCAGGTGGATGAGAATAGGCCGAGGAACCTCCTCCGCCATGACCAGGAACACCGGACGCGCGCAGCTCGGAGTCTAGCTCCAGCTGTCGTATCTGCACTTCTCTGTCAATTTCTAACTTCCGGACTTCTTTGTCCACTTCCAACTTCCGGACTTCCTTGTCCATTTCCAATTTGCGTAATTCCAGCTGTAACTGCCTGGCTTTCTCCCTGTCGTCAGTTTCCCACCGAAGCTGCCTGTCCTTGGCTTCCAAATGGAGCCGGGCGAGACGTACCTTGAGTTTAGCCCCTTCCCGGGACTCTATACTACCAACAGGAGAGGGTGGGCATCTGCGAGGCGGCGTGAGCGGTGCCTCCCACAGCTCGCCCCCCTCGCTGTCACCACCCCTTCCTTTAGTAAACGTAAACTCTGCCTCTGCCAGACGCAACAAGCCCTCAGTGGGAACTTCGGACACGGGTAGCTCAGCTGGTACAGCCGGTACAAGTACCTCTCTTCGCACCATCTCATCCACCACCAACGCCTTCAATTCTTTTTTTAACATCTGCCGATTCACCACGAGACTGAAGTGCTATCTCTATTAGGTCATCCTTCTTACACCGGTCCAGCTGCTCATAGGACGGCCAGACCAAGAACGCCTCTATATCGAACGATGCCATACCTGGGTGTACCGCCCACACGTTCACAAAGTTTTCAGCCACAATAAACCCACCTATAACCCCAGGAATTGATTTAAATGTATCCCGGACGAGAGCCCCCACGTGTTACGTTCCCTCTTGGCTAGGGGTACAAAAGGGAAACGACACGACCAGATTGGATTTGGTATATGTTACCGGTGGTTTTATTTGTAACGGCAACTGAGTAAATGATGTACACAAACAGCTTGGCCCAACAACGGGTCAATCTGTCACAGCTGGTGCGGGTCTACAGGTGCTAATCAACCTGGATCTAAGCAATATACACACAGGAATGCTGGTCTACAGGTGCTAATCAACCTGGATCTAAGCAATATACACACACAGGAATGCTGGTCTACAGGTGCTAATCAACCTGGATCTAAGCAATATACACACACAAACCCTATACTAACACAGAACCCGATGACACGCTGCTAATCAGTGTGCTCGCCCAGAAACCTGAATACACTGCTAATCAGTGTAGCTAACACAAAATGCACACGGCTAAACAGTCTCAGAAGTCACAGAACGAAGGCAATGTCACAATGCGAGGGTTGAGGCGTCTGTCACACAATACAGAGCCTCCCGAATGGTATCCGTGCCCAGCCTTTATACTCTTCCCCCGGATGACGTGGCAGAAGCGGGCAGGGCTTGGGTGACGTCTGTCCAATCCCCGCGGATGTTGCGAGGTCGAGACGGCCACTGACAGCATAGGAACTGCCCAGCTCATTTGCATACACACACAAACAGAGTTAAGGGCACAAGGTAGCAGCGGCTGTAACAGGTACAATTACAATTTATTATATATATATAATTAATAATATATATTTTTACTGGAAAGAATCATAAGAAATTCATCTGTGTCGAACTGAGAACAATTCTACAAAGTAATGAGTAACAAAATGGCGTTAGGGCAAAAAGTAAAATAATTATGATCATATTAGTGCCTTACAGTTTTTGTATAAGTCAAATTAGGCAAAAATAAAAAACAACTAATATCATGAGGTCAATATCAGCTCTTTATTAGCACAAGAAAACATTCACAAGTTAATATACCCCTTACCATTCAACGTTTATTTAAATATTTAATACCAGAACAGTATCTAGAAGACTGCCTGAAGGTGTTCCTTTTCATATACTTAAATGTCCCTGAAACCTGGTATGCATTTTAAAGTATAATAACTGTTGTTTAAAAAACAAATAATAATGAATAATAATTACCTTTTTCATTAGTAACAGCGGTTTGCATGGTTTTGTATTAGAATTATATCACGAATGCAGCACAAACACCCCCATAGATATTCTAGATACTGTATTATTTAGTTGTGTCCTAATGGGAATAGTTTGATTGACAATGGTAATGGTAAAAAGTTGTTTATTTTCTTGAAAAAACACCAAGATACCAGATCTGAAGTTGTATAATGCCATAAGTAAACTCATAAAGTTAAATTAGAATAACCAAACCAAGCTTTGGGAAAAATAAAATGGCATATCTTGCTTTTAACAATTAACTTTAATGAGCTTTATAACTGTTCTCCTGGTGTCCCCCAGAACAAGCATTTCCTCTCTTTCCACAGACTTGTAACTGCATAACTCTTTCTTTTCTTTTTTTTCACCCTGTCGTCTTTCAGGAAACAAAAGATGAATTTTGGCCAGCATTAGCTCCTCCCCATTCCTGCTCTCTCAAACACACACACTCTCTTCTCCCCCCCACCTTCCCCTCTACACTCTCCCTCTCATAAATGCAGCAGTGCTTGCATGCCTGTGTGTGTTTGCACTTTTTTTGTGTGACAGACAGACGGAAAGACAGAGAGATTTGCTGTAATAGAAAGTGAGAAAGGAAGGGGAGGGAAGTAGCCAGGGCAGGGAGGGGTAAGACGGATAGAGAGAGAGAGCGAGCAAAAGGGGACGGAAGGGAGGGGAGAGAGAGAGAGAGAGAGAAAAGAGGGGGAGCACATGTGTATGCTTGTCACTAAGGGGCTGGGAGAAGGACTAAGGGAAGCGAGGTAGCTGGCCACAGCCGCCATATGCTGACTGGATTCCTGTTCATGTCTGCTGTGTGAAGACTGAACGCTCGCCGGCTGGGGAACGCACCATGGGAAGCTCACATCTCCTCAACAAAGGCATGCCTCTAGGTAAACAACTACCACTCTGCTTTAATGTGGGAACTGTGTGTGTGTTCCAATGAACTCTGTGTACATTATTCTGTCTTCCCCTCCCCCTTCTCTCTCTCTCTCTCTCTCTCTCTCTCTCTCTCTCTCTCTCTCTCTCTCTCTCTCTCTTCCTCTGCCTTTTTCCGTCTACTCCTTCATTTCTTAATTCTCTCTGAGTCTATTATCTCATTTATCGGTCTCAGATTCTCTATGAATGGCTAGGATTTTATGTAGCTCCCTGTGTGTGTGTGTGTGTGTGTGTGTGTGTGTGTGTGTGTGTGTGTGTGTGTGTGTGTCTGAAGAGGCACATCTCTGCTATTGAAGGCTCCTTGAACACCTCTATTCACGGCGACAGAAATAGATCACTCTCCTTTCGAGGGCTAGCAAGGACATGACACATATTTCCTTTTCATTGTGCTTCTTTTTACGGAGAGCGGTTACACACACACACACACACACACACACACACACACACACACACACACCACACACCACACACACACACACACACACACACACACACACACACACACACACACACACACACACACACACACACACACACACACACACACACACACACACACACACACACACACACACACATAAAAAGGGGAACTCAACTGACACACATTTTCAGGTATACACATGCATGCTCACAGGTGACAGATGCTACTCATGATAGGGGCTGGAAAAGACTATTCTAGAAAATGGGATCAAGGTAGAGCTGAGGAATAAGAAAGGGGAGGGGGGGGGGAGGAAGGAGGAGGATGGTGTGTGGATAAATGATCATCCACCCTGAAGCTGAATCACTGTGGTCACCTTAATGTGGATTTATGAAGCAGTTTCCCCAAAAGGAACAGAACGATAGTAATCTGTGATGTCATCAACAGGCTGCGGGCCGTGATGACATCAAAGACTAAAGTTGCAGCTCTGATCTTTTCCCTTCCCCATGTATTTTCCACATCAACCCGCTTTAAGAACCCAAGGTCACAGGAATAACCACTATGAATTATGTTTCAGGGAGGATTGCCCTTTTTAAGATTCTCACGCGCAAATCACTGCTATTCAATAATCGTGAAACAAATCTGGTCATTGGATCCGTTTCATCACACAGCGGGGATCATTGGACCTTTCAGGGATGATTTAAAACCAGTGTGTCTTCCCTGGTGATTGATGGATGTGTTGATCCATGTTTCAGAAGGCAGGGGTCCTCTAATCCACGAGTGTTGAATCACGTCTAATCTGATTAGATAGGCTTCGATCACTGACACAAACACACACCATTCACTCTCCTATTATCGCTTATAAAATCTGATTAGCAGGACAAAATACTAAATTATAATCTTATATCTCTCAGTTGAAGACTTGTTTGCACGATAAGATGTGTGTACTTAAAAAGTGCCTTACAAACTGATTAACAGGTACATTGTAATGTGATTGTGCTTTACAGCTGCAGGCAGTTTCCCACCAGGAGGTTTTATATAGACACTTTAATGCGTCAAAGGACAAAACCTAGCAAACTGCTCATGTTGCGACATGTTGCCAATATAGACAAATCTACAACCTCCCATCACTTAAAATAAATGTTAAGGTTAGAAAACAGGAAACACACCTACGCGACGAAAATGTAAGTAACGTTTTGGGAATGTTAAATAGAGGTTCCAGTTCTTGTTACTACATGTGCACATAAACATTGTTTATCTGCATAAATCAAATCTATATTTTTACTCCACCTCTATTGAAAAAGAGCATTGAATGTCTTTTTAAGCAGACTCATAAGCCTGAATATATAAAAAGCAGGAAATAGTCATTTAAGCAGGTATAATAGACAGCACTTTCAAATCTATAAAGCTTTAAGTGCTCAGCAAAGAGACTTTGTGCACTGACATCCATCAGTCTATTATATCTAATGCACACCAGAAAAGAGCCGGATCTCTAGGGAAGCAGCTGTGAAAGGCCGGCATTTAAAGGCATGACATTTGCACTGATGGTAAGCCAGTATAGTGAGTTACGTTTAACTGCAACTAAAGCATTTAATTAAATAACATAGGAAACGTCATTTAGGAGCATGACAGTCCAGATAAGTGGCACCGTATACAGAAAAAAATAGCAGCTCTACATCCCAAAACAGCAATTAGTAGGCAGGCTATAATTCTCCTTAGATGTTAAAAACAAACGCATTGTTGTTAATAATTTATGTGTCAGCAGATCAGGTGAGTCTGTTCAGAGACAAGCTGCTCATCTGCAGTCCATGTAGCAGGCTGGCACCGTTTTCTATTGATCATCCCACACATTGATATCCTTTGTCTGCATTAACATGCTTTTACTGTGATGTTTTATTCATTATCAAATCACTTCAAACAGTGGGAGTAGCAGTGTTTTAAAACAGCCCTCTGTTCTTCATCAAAGAGCTGAACAAAATATAAATCTGTGTACAGCGTATTAGGGGTGTAACGGTTCACAGAATTCACGGTTCGGTACGCACCTCGATTTGGAGGTCACGGTTCGGTACAACAAGAAAAAGCAAAAAAAAGTTGCAAATGCATAATTCCAGGTTTGTTGTTATTTATTTTTGCACAGTAGTGCAAGTTTCAGTTTACAAATAAGGAACTCTAACATTTTGAATAATGAGCTGTGTTACAAAAGTTAAAAACAAACCACAAACAGTACCACACACACTCAGATGGCCATATTATCTACAATGGCTGATGTCAAACAAAAAGGTTTCATCAAGCTGTAAAACTAAAAAGAATGTCTTGAAAATATTACAAAATAAATGATAAAGTGTTTCAAGAGCGCATTGCCGTTGAAATATATATGCCAATAGCTTCCGTTATTTCTTTTGGTCTCTCGGCTCTCATGTCTATTGGCTTCTTAAAAACAGCGGGGATCAGCTGTTGAACTGCTGTTGTCTTTTGCCGGGCTCCTTCTGATATGATTTAGCATGTTTGGCGTGTGTTACCATTAGCATACCGCACCGCTGTCGAACAACGCCCACACACCGGCCTCGTCCGATCCACCACTTGCATGTGCCGAACTGTGACGGTTCCGTATGAATACGGATACCGATACAGCTCTACAGCGTATACATCTACAGCTGACAGCAGTGTCAAGAAATACCCGTAGTTACAATATTAATAACCATTTTTCGTGTATTTCGTTCATCTAGTTGTCTTTTTTGTAATCTTTTGTACCCTTATGGTCACAGACTCTCTTTCCACCTTCCTACACTCGTATTTTGATTGTAATTAATTAGCTTAAACACAAGACAAAATGCACAATGACTCAAATAAATGTGTCTGATAGCATGAACTGTGTTTTTTAAGATTTTCAATAGATTTTGTGTTATTAATGCATTTGTGAATTATTTGGGCTACAATAATCATGTGGTGACCAACTGATATTGTTAAAGAAAAAAATAATCTCATCCAGACATACACTTTATACTCCTTGTAACAAGTATGTGGAATACAAAAAAAACAGTTAGATAGGGAACTGACTTAAAGACCCCCTGTGGTTTTTGGGACGCCAGTTGGGGGACCCTTAATGTTGAATACAATAAATGCCTCATAGTATTAATAATCCATTACTGGGGCGCATTTGTTCCAGAGTATCCAAACTGACCCCAATCCAATTGAACCTTTCTTCTGCATATTAACAGTTAATCCAATATAACAGGCAGACAGCTTGACAGTAATCCAGTTAATGCCTACATTTAAATGTAGTACTTCCTTTAGTCTAGTGCAAGTGCTGTTTATAACGGTGCTCCTTAACCTTTAGGATTCATTACATCATATACCTGAGCAGTGGTGACAACCATCACTCTGGATCTGTAGAGCGTGAAATGTTATTTACTTCCTTTTAGCTGGCTAGTTTTTTCAGCTTCAGAATCATACAGGTTGAATATTTTTTTGTTTATATTTCTCAATTAAATATACAAAGTTTAAACCGATAAAACTGAATGTTTTTGGGTTTCGAGCATCAAAACCAATCATTTAAAGATATCGCTTTGGACTTTTATAGAGAGGACAAATATTATTGATTCTTAAATAATCTGTGAATCAATTGATGGTTACATTAATTGTTAGTAGCAGCATGTGTCTGTAATTTAACAAAGGAATGCATTACATGCTAACTGTATAGCTTTGTAGCTACTATAAAGCTGAATTCTGTGCTTTCAAACTATAATTGGTGTCTATTTACCTTCTAACTAACTACTTTAACATTTAGAGATCAATAGAAGTGAACGAACAGTAAACCTTAATCTAAAATCTGCATAATTCAACGTTGACTCTATAATGGTACTGCCATAACTAATGCTAACTCTAACCCTAACTCTCTCACATTTTTGCTTCTTGTCTGTTTGGCCACACGTGTATTTAGTACGGGAAACAAAAAGCTGACAAACCTGAACCGGCTTGATGATTCAGCACCTAAAATGAAGGACCATGTACTATGTGTGTGTGTGTGAGAGACAGAGAGGATGAGAGAGAAAGAGAGGACATGCATGGTGATCCTTTCTATATGTAAGCACTTGTCCTCCTCATATATCACCTATTTTTTCACGTCAACCTGGTTGGGTTAGTATGCTAAGCATGTACCTGTATTTATGCTTATGTGGGTGGTGCACAATATGTGTGTTTGTGTATGTGTATGTGTGTGTGTGAGACAGAGCATGTGAGGGGGGGAGGACTGGTGGTGATTGATGTGTCCGTTCTACTCTCTTTCCTCCCTGAGAACTGAAGTGTGGGTCGGGAGAGTTAAAAAGAAAGACTGCAGTAACATCAGACTGAACACTTTGTACCTAGACATTAAGGAGGTTTTTCAAGCATATAAATATGGCAGTGATGTTAAAAAGTAGCTTTTTCTCATGGCGCGAGAGATTGTCAGGGCAGGGAAAAAAGCAAATGGCAAGGCAGATAGATATATGGAGGAGAAAAAGCCTGTGGGAAAAACGAGACTGAAATGAGAAATGGCGA